CTCCTCTCCCCCTCCCCCCACAAATGGTAGGGTACGCACCGGACGGATTCAGAGGGCGAAAATTTGCACATCAGTTCTTGAACGACCAAGATGACGGGAAAATGAATAATTCGCGGTCGACATGTAGAAAACAATCCGCGGTGAACTGCGCGTTTTTCAGGATACAGTACCTTTCCTAGCTAGGCCTCGTATTCTCTTATGGCTGGTAGAGGTGGACCTTTTCAAGGAAACAAGTGAACGCCAAGCAATACAAAAAAACCAATTAATAAAATACCTGAATATGGCCATAAATAACATCAAAGTTGGCATTGATGCGATCCTGAGAAGAAGGGAGCATTGGCATGACGATATGGTCAGAAATGAGCGCCTTAAACGACTTTGAATTGAAATGGCTCTAACAAAGGCCGGCTCTTGCATTGAGGCTACCTACCTTAATAAGACGAGGAGTTTTGCTGAATTTGGCGGTCTGTGTAGAAAGCACAACGCCACAGTGCCCCCGTCATCAGCTTCAATTTGCCGGAATCTCGAGCTAACCGAAGGGGGCGAATGAGTCTGCAATGGAAAAGGTCTATCATGAGCAAGTGTGAAGCTCATGAAACGCATGGGTCGCGATTGGATGGCCGAGGAACCCACCCCCTCCCCTTGTGGATACTGTCTCTGAATCTCCAACAACAACGGTGATCACACACTCTTGACTCGAAGCAGTGCAGTAATGACTCGCCCACCCTAGTAGTGAGCCTGGCGAAGGCTATGACTGCAGCAGATGAGGCGGCCGACATAGGGCGTAAAATCAGCTGGGGATGGGTGCAGTATCAACTGCTGGCATGGAGCCAACAGTGACTGATGTACTCAGGAAACTCCTTCCTTCCCAAGCCATCATCCTTTGCACTGTTAGAGGATGATTTCTTCGCTCCCGTCGGCAGCTTCTTCCCTTTTTCTGCACTGGCGTTCCATTGCGCAATTTTGCGCACATTTGAAGCGCAAAAATACCCCCAACTCGATCCCGACCTGCTCCTTTACTTAAAAGGAACCATAGAAGCGAGGAACGAAATTTCCTATAAAGGATCAGAATAAAGGATCAGAAAATGACTGAACTCACCTTGAACGTCTCAACTAAACGACACGCTTGAGCATTTGTCCGTTCATGAGCATTCTTTGTCTCGTAGCTTAGTGGCAGCGATACTGTAAACTCGCGAAGTATTAGCGAAATCATTTGACGGGAAGATGGGAAACCAAGTCTTGTCTGCTTAAGCAATTTTGGAGCAGGTGAGTACAAGAGGAGACATCTCGTTCCCTTCTAGGTCAGTGGTCAAGCAGATAGTCTGCACAGACTCATGTGAAAGCTCTGAAGTTAGTCAGGCTTCAGCGCCCAAGGTTGAAGGCTTATGAGTAGTACCACAGGGCACTTATGCGATTGCAATTCTTCATTTTCATGTTGGTGAGGCTTCCTTAGTCAGGGCTATTGCGAGGAAACTCAAAGGTATCTTTTCTCCTTGCTAAGTGTGTCACTCTTGTGTGACTTGTCTCAGATGAAGATAGTAGTTCAAATCACAGGCATTCTTCCCAATCAATTGAGGTTCTGCATACTCCGCAATTGCACCGAGCTTACATACCCACGGAAACGGTTACCCTGAGGTTTCGTGCCTCATTAATAGGGATGTGATGCCTTCTGCGGCAAGCGCTGCCTTATTTAGAGGCGCTTGAAACTGGAAAGCTTAAAGCGAGAGATTGACGATAGGGTTATGTTGTGTTTGTAGTGGAAGTGGAGATGCTGAATAATGCCCTAGTAGCGAAAAAAGCAAAGAAATCCGTCAAAAACGCGCAAAATGGGACCACTTCCTCTGCCCGTTGACCTCCGATAATGGACGAGTTGGCAACCAACTAAGAGGTCGTCGGCACTCGTTAAACCATAGCTGCCATCATACCACCAGAGATCATACCTTGATTGATATAGCATTCCATGAGAAAAAAATTGGATACGCGCTCGAAGTGGCATACCTTATCAGAATGATAATCGAACAGCGATCTGCTGAGGGGCGGAGCACAGGCGTGGCGGAGCATACAGAAAGGATTGGGCCCCAGGCGCTGCAATGAGCGCTGGGTACTAAACGCGGGCTGTCTCCTTCACCGGCCAGCCAATGGCAACACAGTCTCTCGATCCTTGCGGTTCTTTAGATGTGTGGAAGTGTGCTCGTTGTTCCATGCGCACAGAGACTTTAGCGGTAATGCTCTCGCTTATTAAATAGTTACGCCTTTACGAAACACTCCCCCCATGCGCGATCATTGAAGTTGTAAACGTTAGCAGCAATTTCTCAGATCACAGACTCACTGGTGCATTAAATGACAGTGCTCAGCGTATGCTGACGGGACGTAAATTATATCACCGCCAAATGGGTATTCTAGCTGAGAATCTGTTCAAACATCAAGAGAAAGGAGGGCTCTTTTGCAGGCATTGGATCGGATTCTTCTGGTTTCTTGCTACCTTTAACCAATAATATCTCTATTCTCACATATCTGATCAACCTTAGCCTTGTTGTACTTAATGCCTTCAATCTCAAGCAGGAAAAATATGATTATCAGATGTGCTGGAAACTTACGATAGTACATAGTTGGATTCTCGTTTTCTGGACATGGAAAAGCAATGTCGCGAAAATAAGTTTTTAGATTTTTTACACGTCCTGAAAGAAAGCATTTGAAATATCTATCAACAATAATCACTTTAGATTTCTTTGACACTTGCATTTCAGAAACATCGTTAATTACATGCTACTCGGAGTCAATTCAAATTTGACTCCAAATTGAGCTTTAGCTGAAATTGTTATGTTCACGGGTCGTTAAAAACACTTGGCAAGAATTAGTGGATTACCCCACCATCAGAAAATGAGAACGCATCTGGCTCAATTACCAACCGACAATTATTTATGGCACTTGAGTGGTCAGCTGGTCATCACGTCAGATGTGACATTTTACATTGGTTTCTTCTTCACTAGCGCACCATTCGCCACCTCTTCCTATGAATTTCACAGGACTAAAATTATCGCGAACGCTGTCTTTAAATCCGAGGCGATTTTAATGCCTGTGCTGCGATTTGTTTTCAACTGGCTCACATGGAAGGTTTCAAGATAATCAAGCATAATATTTCTTACCTGAATAAAGTACTGCTCCGTGAAACAAGATAGTAACACTAGAAATCAATTGACAGAGATCAGACCGAGGGTTGCCGATAGATACAAGCACAATACGGTTGTGTTCAGTTGCATAATTTTGTAAACAATACATCAATTGATAACAAGAGATCGGCTCCAAGCTGTCACAGAGATCATCGACGACTAACAACACTGCAAAAAAGTTCAGAATGTTGATAATCGTGTCAGAAGAAACCATCGTTTAAGAAACTTGGGTCAATTCTCTGTTATTAGGTATTCGTGGTTCATACGTGTTTTTTAATATTAGGTCAAATGTCAATCACGCGCGTCTAACGATAGCGGGTGTTGGTAGAAGTGATCGGTATGATACTGTGGCTGCTAAGTAATGGAGGTATACCAGTGGACAAAATGGAAGACCGCCAGGAAGATCAAACTTGAAGGCACCGTGCATGTAAAAGCGTTCCTCAATTTAAACCTACACCTTAAAGGCAAGCTCCGGGATAAAACTGGTGATAAGAGCGCTTCGTAGTGATGACTGAGCTGCGGAACGACCTGAAAGTGGAAAGGAAAGCAAGAGAAATCTTTGGGAACGCTGAAATTAAGGCCTTAACCTTCAATAAGGTCGGATGTGGTACGATGGCGAGACAGGGCGATCAGAAGAGAAAAACGCGGAAAGATCACGAAAAAGACCACGTTCGAGAAAGCACCGCCGATATCGAGGTGGTGGCAAAGCCGTGCATCACGTGGGTCGGATGGCTGCAGGCCCCCTAAAAGGACATAAGCACCCTAACCACGCAGTTTTTGTGAACCAAGCCGAAGTGAACCAAGTTGGTACGGACCTTACAATTTTCCTGATAGGATCCTTACCGCAAGTTGGGCTGATCCCGGAGTTTGCCTTCAAGTTCAGTGTTCTCTCACAGTATGAAGAAGAATTGAAAGTATGAAAAAGAATGAAGCGTTGATTTTGATAAGAAATCCGAAAGTCCACATAGGCTATAAATAATTTGAATTTGGCTGGTTCAGCCCCTCTTACCGCAGGATTCTAGGAGATGCGGTTTTTCAGCACCTACTTCTTTTCTAGAATTCTTCCTGGCCTCCAACTTCGTACTTCGTCTTTTATGATAGCACTCTAATGCGCCCATATAAGAAAAAGAAGCAACAAGATTTCCGTGCACGGTGCCTTTAAGAACCTCCTATGTTGACATTGACAGTACAAACTAACGATAAACAAAGTTGGACGAGCAGACAACAGAGAGAAGTACAATTTTTCTGAGTGAACGCATGCCTGCCTCTATTTCAATTTGCAATAAGGCGAAGATCGTTTCGAGAACCAGGCTTTCTGACCAGTAGAAGATTTGGCTAGACATCATATTTAGCCGGGACTAGAATCTCTGCATAGTTTGCAAACATCTCATGACCTTCAAAAAGGAGGCGAAGGACATGTTAGTCCCCCTCGTTGCTTCACCTCCAAGAAATTCCTGCTGCACTATTCTGTTTCTATTCCTTATTTGGAGACGATTATAAGGAAGCTGCTCACCTGGGTCTTTGACGAGCGCGTTAGCGATGAGAGCTCGCCTCTGAGCACTTTTGGACAAATCCTGAAGCTTTTCATGTCCATATCCCTAGCAAATCAAACTGCCGCAATAACATGTGTACCTAAAAATCTGAATTGCTGTTGGACACGAAATAACTAACATAAGTTGATTTCTTACCCTCTTATCAATTTCTTTCGACGGCAGAGAATTGCCAAAACGTTAATGCGGCTGTGTAATAGAGAAATGAGCGCACTGTCATGAAGCCTGGACACCAATGACGTCCAGATAGAGAGGCACATAGCTTTTGAAATCGTTCACCTTCAAACTATAATTAAATGCGGATATAGAAAAATGGAAAGATGGCGGAACAGGGTGGCTGGGCGGATATCGAACCCCGCAGTCACACTCACGCTAACAAGCCTTTCACCTTGTGGAACCCAATCGTTCGGCAATAATTTCTTTGTGGGTAAGGACCCCGAATGTATTTACAATGGCTGGTGAACTATATATTTTATGGCCAAAAGTGCAGAAGTGTAGTTCTCTTGGCAAGTCGGATGCGTGGCGCATCCTGAAAAGGACTGATAATTGTCGAGGGTTTTTCATGTTCATCACATTCCGCTCCACAATGACGTATCCCTTCCTCGATTCTGAGCTATTCGTATCTACTGCTCTACCTAACCTCCACTCTTATTACGGCTCACCACGACAGTGCTGCTCTAGTACATTGATGGCAAAGCGCACTGACCAAG